GAGAGAGCCCGCGAACATCGAGAAGTATGATTCAATTCAGCGAGTCGGTTCATTCGGACGTTTCGTTTTGGATGAACGTGTTCACAGAGCGGAGTCACTGAATCCTTTGATTAATCACTCAAATGTGTCTTTTTTTAATCTTCCTAGTCTTATTGCTGCTTGTAACTACATTTTTGATTAGAGTATATAGATTAAATATTGTATTCCAACATTATTGTTAAAAACAAAATTACCAATACTTTTCCCAGTAAATCTAATTCATTTAATAATGTTGGTTATTAATAACAGTAACACTAATTATTCCAGATATTGTTCCAATCCCACAGTTTTACTTCCAACAAAGTGATTCCGTACAGTCGAGTCATTAAAGGAATCGGTTCAGAAGAACGGCTCGTTCGAGCGCCAGCGAGAGATTCTGCTCAGACTGAAGTCAGAAATGAAAGGTGTCGCTCTTACAGCCGCTCGCACTGCTTCCTCTGCATTTACTCTCCTTCTGCACTGATTCTGAGGATAACAACACGCTCGTTCTGTACAGAGCGCCTGTCAAACTTTAACGCGTTTGACTCGTCAGTTACGCGAAACTTTCTGTGTTTTTTGACAGAGGATTTGCTGTTATGATGTTGTCTCTATATTCTCTTGTCATTCTGCTTTCTTCTGGTGAGTAACTTTGTGGTTTTTGTATCTCGAAGCTTTAATATTCCAGCAGGAAGGTGTGTTTGCGAGTCAGATGCTGCTGAGCGAATCAGATGTGTCAGATTTGAAGATTCAAAACGCATTCGGATGTTGATCAGATTATTCTCAGTCATCCAGTGACCATCTCTGATGATTATGGTGTGTGTGTGTGTGTGTGTGTGTGTGTGTGTGAGTGAGTGCGTGTGTGCGCGCGTGTGTGTGTGTGTGAGCGTGTGTGTGTGTGTGTGTGTGTGTGAGTGAGTGCGTGTGTGCGCGCGTGTGTGTGTGTGTGAGCGTGTGTGTGTGTGTGTGTGTGTGTGAGTGAGTGCGTGTGTGCGCGCGTGTGTGTGTGTGTGAGCGTGTGTGTGTGTGTGTGTGTGTGTGAGTGAGTGCGTGTGTGCGCGCGTGTGTGTGTGTGTGAGCGTGTGTGTGTGTGTGTGTGTGTGTGAGTGAGTGCGTGTGTGCGCGCGTGTGTGTGTGTGTGAGCGTGTGTGTGTGTGTGTGTGTGTGTGTTCACAGTGAGTGTGTGTGAGCTCAGGGTCGGTTCTGATCCGGTTCCTCTGGACTCGAGCTCCGGGTGTCACTCCGGACTCAAACAGCTTCACGGACAGCAGGTGACCGGCCACCTGCCGCCCAACATCACGGGACACTGGGTGTCCAACAGGTGAGGAGCTCCAAATAATGCTCATTAAATTCATCCTAATCAATGCACGGAACTCTTTCCATTCTGGACTCAATTCTGTGCAGATCCTTTGATATCTGTCGCTCTGGAGCAGGATAAACTGCTTAAAACATAATTGAAATGTTCTTGAATTTGTGATATTTCACTTAAATTGTATTTATGCATTTGGTAGATGCTTTTATTCAAAGCGACTTACAATAAAGGCCCATCAGAGACAGTATTCGATGCCACTAACAGATGCGGCATTGAATAATGTGAATATTAATGTAAAACGGCTAAGAGTTTTAACTAATAGATATCAGCATGCTTTCCCACACTGTACATTAAAACAATAGTTTTGCATCACAAGTTTCTGAAATGTTATGTTTGAATATGCAAATGAGGGATTCTCTAATTAAATATGCATTGATTTGCATACATAAATCTGAACATTTGTTCATAATTCTAGTTTGATTTTGTCCTCATATTAGAGTTAAAGGTTTTTCCAGAGGGGATTTGGGATTTTTCTTTTTAACATGAATCAGAAAATACTGTCAACAAACAGATTTTCACCATGTTTTCAGGAGTATAAATCAGTGTGAGTGAAATATGAACAAACCTTCAGAACATAGAGAGGAATAAAACTGCAAAGTGTGCTGTTTGTAAGAGAAAAAACTCTTTAAAGATTGAAATCTACAGACGCAGATAGATAAAGTGCAACAAAATGTGTGTTTTGGATGTCTCACTCCACTTTGATATATTTCTTCGTGCCCGCTTCCATGTTCAAAGCCTGTCTTGATGACACACTGTACACTTGTACAGCTGTTCTCCTTTGAGCACCAGTGTTTTAAAGCCTTTACTCTCGTGATTCCAGCTGCGAGGTGCGACCCGGCCCGGAGTTCATCACCCGCTCCTACCGCTTCTTCCCCGACGGCAGCTTCCAGGCGCTGCAGTTCTACTACCAGGACCCTGAGTGCAGCGAGCCCAGCTACAGCCTGCTGATCCGGGGCGGCGTGCGGCCGCTGCAGGCCTCCTGGCTGGTGCGCGGAGGAGCCGTGTGCGAGTACCACCTGAGCCGCGTACAGCTGCTGTGTCACGGCCCCGCAGCGGCGCTCATCCAGCGGCGCCTGCGATCGGCCTGCGACCTGCGGCAGCCGCTGCGGCCCGGTCTGACGTACGAGCTGTGGGACGAGCGTCGTGACTGCACCCGCGGCTTAGACTTCAGCATGCAGGAGCTGCAGCTGATGCGGCTGGAGCGGAGCGGTCACCATGGCGACCCCAGCAGACAGATAGAGGAGCTGTTCCTGGGAGACGTTCACACGGAGCGCGCTCAGAGGAGACTCCACCAGCCCGCGGGCTACCAGACCCCCCTGCAGAGCGCCAAGGTCAGCAGGCTGACGTCTGCGCCGCTGCACATGCATGCGCTCGATTAGCACAGCGCATTAATATTGAGCGAGAGCGAAGAGAGAGTCGCACACTGTCAGCTGGAGTAAGAAAGAAGCGCTTAAAACAGAGTCTCTACTTCAGCATATCAGCACATTTTCACATGGATTTAAAGTCAACATCAAATGTTTTATTTTCCTGATGCATGTAAATAACTGGCTTAGTTTGATCAGTCGCCGTTTTCAGTGGCCCTTCATCCCGTTTCACGCAGAAATACGTCATAAAATGACTTTAAATGATTTAAAGACAAAACAAGCATTAATATATGCTAAAACGACTAAAAATCAAGATATGTCTTATTTTAATTCTTTTCTTTTAAGAATTTTTTAAAATGAGATAAAATAAGCATTAAATACACTAAAACGACTAAAAATCAAGATATGTCTTATTTTAATTCTTTTCTTTTAAGAAATTTTTTTAATGAGATAGAATAAGCATTAAATACACTAAAAGAAGTAAAAATCAAGATGCATCTTAGTTCATTTTTTCAAGAAATGGTTTAAAATAAGACAAAACAAGCATTAAAAAATACACTAAAACAATAAAAAATCAAGATATGTCTTATTTTAATTAATTTTTCTTTTAAGAAATGGTTTAAAATAAGACAGAATAAGCATTAAATACACTAAAAGAAGTAAAAATCAAGATACGTCTTATTTTAATTAATTTTTTGGTCTTTGAACAAAGTAACAAAGATTCACATTCATTCATTTTAAAAGTGATTTCTAGACCTGAAAATGTCATGGACATTAATACAATCTTAATACTCCATGTGCATTTTTATACAAATATACACTTTTCTAGTCGTGCAAAACTCTAAAATATTTTATTGGATAGAAATGGTCAGTAAAACAGCAACTTTAACTGTGATTATGTGCTGGAGATAACCACAAAAGATGTGAGATTACTGATAATTATTATTGATTTAGGGAAATCAACACACTTGAATGAAGTTGTTTCTCTTGATCTTCAAAAGCTTTGAAACTAAAGCAGGGGTCCGGAGGGCCTCAAGATGACTTAAAATGATTAGTAAATTAATTAATTAAAAAGAGTGAAAAAACCCCGAGGAGTGTTCAGTTCCTAAAACCTCTGGAATCCCGAAACCTGTTTTCATTTCAGATATAATTATTTTAGCGGCTTATTTTAATATCCTAGTTTGAAACCCAAACCAGGGTCCTTTAAATGTTGCTAGAAAGTTTGATTTAAAGCTTCTGCTGGAATTATAATTTGCACCTGTAGATGATTTTCAATTATGAGTGACATGACAGACGGTCTGGATTCACAAACGCGTTAAACTTCAGCCTTAAAATAAAACCCGGCGAAGCTGAAAAATACATGAAGCTTTCGACAGAAGAATGATTAATTCATGAAGTGCCATGTTCGCTGAAGTACAAGTCTGTATAATACATAACATTGTACTTAATTTGGGAAGTGGCATCGCCTGTGATTAACTCATGCGAGCCGCCGGCTGTCACGCATTCATCCGGAGCCTCCGCCGCTATCACCGACCCGTTCGCCAGCTCTCTCTGAGACCGCTGAAGAGCGTGATTCGAGCCGTGTCGGCCGCTCGGCTCCCGTCTGCTTCAAAGGGAATGTGGGAATAGTGTTTGCGAAGGCCAGCGCTCTGGATTGCGGCTCTATCCGAGCGCCGAAGCTGAGAGATGAGCTTTTTCTGATGGATTCATTTCTTTAATGTGTGCGCCCCCCCCCCACCACCGGGAAACATGTAATGCAATGTTAATGCATTCTAGTTCAGCCTGAATTATTGATGGCCGGCCGACTCCAGTAAGAGCCGTGTAGAGGAGCGTCCCGCTGTCTGTCAGCCCTCGGATTGATTGAGATTAAATCAAAGCCGCTCTATAATCGAGTGACGCTCAGAATTATGATTCAGAACTGTCCTTGCGTCTGTCAGCTTCTAACTTCTCTTTCTGTGCTGCCTTTTTGCATTGATCTGTGCATGCATTTTTATGTCTTGCAAACTAGTGTTACTTTAAAATCATTGATCACTTTCAGTTTAGCTAAAGTTTCAGTCATTTTGTTTGGGTTTCTTTTAGTACTTGAAATTAAACTAAACAAGAATGAAAAATGTTGCCTTGGCAACTAGCTGATTTTTTTTTTTAATCAATTTTATTTCAGTTAACATATATTTTAAGATGGTTTTAGCTTTAGTATAGTTAACTATAACAATCCTGGTTTAGCTTTCTATTATTTTCTACTAATTCTACTGGTTTGTCACCAACATAATCTTATCATAGATTTAGTTTTTGACACTTTTTTTACTGATGCTTCCAAAGTTTATTACAAGAAAAATGGTTTATACACTGCAAAACTTAACTATTATTAGAACTATTATTATTTCCTGGATTTAATTTGTTGAGAGAACTCAAATATCTAAATTGTCACTTATAACAAAAAACTTCTTATTTCAAGTCGACTAAACTTAAAATGTTAAGGCAGTATGAACACTTTAAGTTAAAATTAAAAATAGTGTAGATTTGGCTGTCTGTCAGCTCTCGGATTGATTGAGATTAAATCAAAGCCGCTCTATAATCGAGTGACGCTCAGAATTATGATTCAGAACTGTCCTTGCGTCTGTCAGCTTCTAACTTCTCTTTCTGTGCTGCCTTTTTGCATTGATCTGTGCATGCATTTTTATGTCTTGCAAACTAGTGTTACTTTAAAATCATTGATCACTTTCAGTTTAGCTAAAGTTTCAGTAATTTTGTTTGGGTTTCTTTTAGTACTTGAAATTAAACTAAACAAGAATGAAAAATGTTGCCTTGGCAACTAGCTGATTTTTTTTTTTTAATCTATTTTATTTCAGTTAACATTTATTTTAAGATGGTTTTAGCTTTAGTATAGTTAACTATAACAATCCTGGTTTAGCTTTCTATTATTTTCTACTAATTCTACTGGTTTGTCACCAACATAATCTTATCATAGATTTAGTTTTTGACACTTTTTTTACTGATGCTTCCAAAGTTTATTACAAGAAAAATGGTTTATACACTGCAAAACTTAACTATTATTAGAACTATTATTATTTCCTGGATTTAATTTGTTGAGAGAACTCAAATATCTAAATTGTCACTTATAACAAAAAACTTCTTATTTCAAGTCGACTAAACTTAAAATGTTAAGGCAGTATGAACACTTTAAGTTAAAATTAAAAATAGTGTAGATTTGGATGCATCTATAAAATGTGTTGACTAGAAACCAATCAGTACATTACATCACATTGGTTTCCTGCAAAGAATGAATAAAGTTACATTATTGCATAATTAAGAAAAAAAATAGTGAAGAAAAAGTAATTGTGTAAAGCAGTAGACCATGGCGCTGGCAACACCAAGGTCAGGGGTTCGATTCCCAGTGAATGCATGGACTGATAACATGCATCGCTTAGTTGCAATGTAAGTCTCTCTGAATAAAAGTGTCTACCAAATGCATAAATGTGAATGTAAAAATATAAATATTTACAGCAAATACACACAAAAAAATGCATTGCAAAATGAAATGGATCATGTAAAAACAGCATAATTCTTAAGTGGTGTTAAGTTAAGTAACTTATGTTTGAGATGTTCAGATTGGGTTTGCTGGTCAGTCCTCCGTATTTCTGCAGCTTGACCTGCTGCTCTGCTGTTTAGCTCTTGCTTGTGTAGGAAGGGTTTTATTTCCGTTCGGTCTCATTGGGTCGGTGCATTGCATGCTAAATCAGATTCAGATGGGCTGAATAATCTGAGCAGTCGGGTTCTCTCCGGAGGCTCCGGGCGTGAAGCAGAAGCAGGTTCTCTGTGCTGAAGCTCGTCGATAACCTCTGAATGATTAACCAGTTTAATATGCCAGGTCAAGTTTATTTATATAGCGCTTGCTTCTCAGCAGCAGTAAGCAGACAAACAGTGTCAGGATTCAGGATTTTCAGATGTGATGTTCTGCATGTTGTGTCAGTGCCATCATTCATCATGGATGTTTGGTTTAGTGATGGTCTGTCTCACACTGACGACCTTTGATCTTTGGTCTTTATTTTCTCTGGGAAACCTAAAATATATAATATGGAAAATATAAAAAAGCTAATTGCGACTTTTTATCTTACAATTCCGACTTTTTGTTGCAATTCTGATTTTATATATAATTTATTCTCACAATTTTCTCAGAATTGTCTAAACTGCAATATAAAGTCAAAATTGTGAGACAAAAAATTCTAAATTATGATATATAAAGTCAAAATTGGGATATAGTCAAAATTGTGAGAAAAGTCAAAATTGTGAGAAAAGTCAAAATTGGAATGTAGTCAAAATTGTGAGAAAAGTCAAAATTGTGAGAAAAAAGTCAAAATTGTGAGAGAAAAAAATCTAAATTGCGATATAAAGTCAAAATTGTGAGAAAAGTCAAAATTGTAAGAATAGTCAAAATTGCGATATAAAATCAAAATTGTGAGAAAAAAGTCAAAATTGCGATACAAAGTCAAAATTGCGATATAAAGTCAAAATTGCGATATAAAGTCAAAATTGGGAGAAAAAAGTCAAAATTGCGATACAAAGTCAAAATTGCGATATAAAGTCAAAATTGTGAGAAAAAAGTCAAAATTGTGATATAAAGTCAAAATTGTGAGAGAAAAAAGTCAAAATTGGGATATAGTCAAAATTGTGAGAAAAAAGTCAAAATTGTGATATAAAGTCAAAATTGTGAGAAAAAAGTCAAAATTGTGTCAGAATTCCGACTTTTTTCTTGTAATTCAGTTTTACTCAAGTTTATTTCTTGCAATTCTGATTTTATATCTCAATTTTTATTAGAATTAAGAAGAAAAGTCCAAATTGTGAGATTTGAAATTGCGCAAAGTTGCAATGATAATATGATAATATACAAATATATGACAAAAAGTATACAAATAAATAAAAATCACAACCACACAGTAAGACCAGGAGCATGAAGAGTGAGTTTCAGATGATGTTTTTCAGAGCGAGCGCTGTGGAGTCTGTCGGATCGTGTCTTCGGCGGATCTTCATCATCCTCCGGTGCTGCCGGCTCGGCCCGAGCGTCCGGTGCGTCTGCAGGGAGACTGGGTGAGCACGCGGTGCGAGGTGCGTCCGGGAGTCCTCTTCCTCACCCGACAGCTGACCTTCCACGAGGACAGCCAGACCTGGACCGGACAGTACGAGCACTTCTCTGACCCGGTCTGCCGTCACCCCACCTTCAGCATCTCAGCCAGCGGACGCTACAGCCGCGGAGCTCCATCTGCAGCCATCGGGGGCGCCGTCGAGTTCACCTTCACCGGTCAGTCACCGATATCACCAGCTGATTCGTCGAAACATTGACATATGCAAATGAGGCATTCTCTAATTAAATATGCACATATTTATGAACATTGGATAAACTCAGGTTCAAATTCTAGTTTGATTTTGTCAAAGGTAATTGCAATGTTTTATATCGCAATTCTGACTTTTTTCTGGAAATTTTGACTTCGTATCTTGCAATTCTGACTTTTTTTCTCAAGTTATTAAAGCAACAGACCTCAAACCTGAGCATTAGTTTGAGTTTCTCTCCTCTTCATCTGTGTAATGCCGTGGCTCTCCTGCAGTGACGCACATGACGGTGACGCCCATGGATGAGGCCACCGCGTCTCTGCTGAAGGTGCTCCGCGGGCGTGCGTGTGGGTCCGAGGGCTCGTGGCAGCGGGGCGTTCCCCAGGACGTGACCTCCACCTCGGGCTGTGCGGCGCTGGGTGTGCGTCTGCCTCACACCGAGTACGAGCTCTTCAGCATGGGTCAGGACCCGTCGGGACACAGCCTCCTCTACAACGGCCAGAGACCCAGCGACGGCTCCCGGAACCACAGACGGCGGAAGGGAGGGAGACGAGACGAGCCGCCAGCCCACTTCTGAGAGTGTGAGATTGCGTGTGTGTGTGAGTGTGTGCGTGTGTGTACACGTGTGTGTGAGAGAGAGAGAGAGTGAGTGAGTGTGTATACGTGTGTGTATGAGTGTGAGTGAGTCTGTGTGCGTGTGTGAGTGTGTGTGTACGTGTGTGTGTGAGTGTCTGTGTGTGAGTGTGTGTGTGAGAGAGAGAGTGAATGAGTGTGTATACGTGTGAGTGTGTGTGTGTACGTGTGTGTGTGTGAGAGAGAGAGAGTGAGTGAGTGTGTATACGTGTGTGTATGAGTGTGAGTGAGTCTGTGTGTGTGTGAGTGCGTGTGTATGAGTGAGTGTGTATGAGCGAGTGTGTCTGTGTGTGTACGTGAGTGTGTGAGTCTGTGTGAGCGTGTGTGTGAGTGTCTGTGTGTGTATGAGTGAGTCTGTGTGCGAGTGTGTCTGTGTGTACGTGTG